AGGGTGCATATAGCATAAATAAACAGGAGTATGCTAAACCTCTCTGTGCTTGTCTGTATGCGCTGTTCTCTTTGCACAGTGGGGGAAAGCAGAATCCTGTGCTATCTTTCCCTTGTGCTGTACTAAATTAGATGGGAAGAAAAGTTCTTACTCCTTTTATACTCTTGCTCTACTTTGCCTTGCAAGTTTCTGCCATCCTGCATCATCTGCCAGTCAGTTTCTCCCACCCACCAATAAATACGAGAATGAGAGGATGACTGCTCTTGTAAAATAGTTTCAGAGCAACAGAAAAAGTTCCTCACTTTCTTCTTCCTCTAGAATTACTTTGGATTAACTCTGCAACACTGTGAATTACAATGATCCAGAATTTCATTAGTACAAGCAACAAGAGGATCAGGTGTAAGAGGCACTGGATAGCTTAAAAATAATGCCTTTCCATAATATGAGTTCTGCCTGAGATATTGCCTAAAAGTGCTTGACATTGTAGCTGCCAAAACCCCAGAGTTATACGATACTTTAAATAGTAGTAAAAATGGAAGAGCCTTTAAAAAGAGGTAGCACTTGCCTGTCCTCCCTTGCCGTGCACGCCAAAGTGATCATTGCTTTTTGCTCTCCCCAGGGGACGGGGAGGTGCGATTCCTCCCCCGCCACCTGGACGAGGTGCCCAAGCACCCAGAGGAGCGCCGGTGACCCGTGGAGCCCTCCCTGTCCCACCAGTGGCGAGGGGCGTTCCCACCCCTCGAGCAAGGGGCGCCCCAGCTGTCCCAGGCTACAGACCACCCCCGCTGCCTGCACACGAGGCCTATGAAGAATATGTAAGTAGCCGCGTGCATTCGTAACATAGCGTGAGCCAAACTCTGTGGTGAACTCTGAGTTTGAAGGCTCCAGGCCAATAATTCCCTGGTCTCCACTGCTTACCTCCTGATGGTGAACTAAGTTCTGGGTGATGCAGTGTGTCTGCAGACCAGTGTTTTGGGTGATGTGAGTTTGTAGAATTGTTCACAACTTAGTTTTGGATATGAGGAGGTCGTGCTGGGTAGCTCTCAGGGCATCACGAAAGAGCAATTCAGATATCCTAAAGATTATATGATAACTAAAAGTCACTCGTTACTGTAGGCAAGTTCTTTGGAATAACAGACTATATCCTTTGTGAGAAAACAGATTTTTTTTTTTTCCAAATCCTTTTTATTATATATAAATATATATATGTATATTTGTATTCAACACTGTGTTACAGAGACGTAACAAATAGAAATTCAGGTAATTTTCGTGAAAGCTGATAGAATGATGAACAGTACTGTCACCTTTTCTTGTGAGGTGTTAAAAATAATTGTGCTGTAAACATCAAAGCTTTCAAGTCATCCTCATTAATGTTCCCTCCTGAAACTATCACCATAACAACAGATATCCAAGTAGAGGAAAAATACCATCAAATATGATGTCTGACTTTTTCCAGCTGTGGCAAATCCAAGGGTAAGATGAACATCCTATCCATTCCATAATCCTATCACTAGGACAACCGTTAAGAAGTTATACTATAATGTAGAAGATGCAGTTTTGTTCAATTAATAGTCTTCCTAGAACAGAAGAAAGGAAATTGAAGCAGAAATTAATATTTGTTGGTAAAGCTTTACTCAAGCATCTGTATTTGTAGAGATTAGATCATTGCCACTTAAATCAGGGACACACATTCTGTTAAAGCCAAGAGTCATAACTGAACAACAGCTGCAAAAAAGGAGGGAAAGAAAGTCACTTTCTGTTATTATTTACCTCAACACAGTTTCCATCTTTGAATGAGATGAAAGCCCTGGTAAAAAAGGAATTTTAAAAGTATAACCTTCCTTGATAGATAGTATATTATCACTTAGTATCAAAATATGGGACCTTCCTTTCTGTGCAGAACTGCATCTTTTCCTAAACCATGAGTGACAAATTTCAAAACAGAACCCTTGTAGTGTAAGATTTAGATTATAAATTAAGTAAACCTTTTTCCTTTCCTTTCCTTTCCTTTCCTT